AAACTGGACGGACCTCTGTTCACGACTAAAGGCACTCAGTATAAAGAGTTAATTAATTGTAATTAATGTCATGAGCTGTAATGAGTCCCGGTGTCGGAGTAACTGTACTGATAACAACACAGACTATTATATTAGTGAGAGTAACAGTCAGGAGATCAAATCTCTTTCTAATAAAATGGGACATCACCCGACTAATCCATTTCTGGAATTTTTAAATAGTTTTCTTGAGAGTGAAGTAACGGGACAATTTAATCAGAAAGTGTGGCTATAAAAAGCGAAGTTCAGGGTTTTTATACTCGTCCGGAAACTGTCCCCGATCTGACCTCTCCTCCAGGTCGCTTCTCATGTGTCTGTTCTGGCGGGTTTCTGTCTAAAAACACTTTACAGGGCTCCCGTCTCCTGTGGAGACACATGTGGGGTCGTGTCAGTGCAGAAATCCCACATTGTAAACCAGTTTAAACTGGGACTGGGTACAACCCTGATCAAGACAAGAACTGAGATTCATCAATCAGTCTCAGGACTCTCTCCCACTGGTGTCCTTTCCTCTCTCTCTGTGCTGTTTCCTAAAAACCCCTCTAATACCCCGTGTACAAAAGAAGACTCGCTCGTCACTCCTGTTACGGACACCAGGACTCCCCTCGTCTGCGGAAAGCCAGGGAAGAGCCTCCGCCATCCCTCCCAGCCCACAGGAGGTTCCCGCTGGAAGGAGCTGGCGGGGGATTCCCAGTTATTCCTGGGATTTCCAGGAAAGAAGCCGCTCCTCACCTGGGAATAAAACCGCCCCGAGAGGAGCTCGAGCGCTCAAACTCGGAGCGTCGCTTAGCAACCGGCGCAGCAGCGGTATCCGGAGGACGAGCCGGAAGCGGGTTTTGGCGCCGGTTTTCCTCATTTTTTATCAGCTCATGAGAATAAAGTCAATATAAAAACATAAAAGTCCATTTCTCTCCCTTATCTGTGGAAGCAGTTACCGCCAGGGAGTAAAAAACAAACAAACGCGTTATTCTCGCCGTTTCAACTTTAGATCTCAAAATTAGGACTTTTATGACTCGCAATTGCGAGATATAAAGTCCTAATTACCGGAAATTACCGGAAATAAAGTCATAATTCTGAGATTTTAAGTCGCAATTGCGAGATATACTGGTCCTCTGTCACATCAGCTAAAAAATCACTTTTAAGGTTGGGTGATGATATAGATAATAGACTCACAAAAAATCATTTCAAGATATTTCAATTTGTCAGTAAAATTGTAATCCTCTTCTTTCTCTTTAAAAAAATAATTATAAAATATCAGACGCCAATTGATCAAGAAAATATTATTTTATGGGCATTGAAGAGGAGTTTGTTAGTTCTGTCTTTTGCAATAAACACACTGTATTTCTTTTGTTTTACGTTTGTAGCGGCAAGGCTTAATAATAAGGCAGAATTAAGTGTTTCTGAGCTTCCCAAATGAGGCCCCATTTCTCTGTTCATCTGTTTCTCTGTTCATCTCTGTGGTGCAGCCAAAGAGAGACCATTAGTGCAGGGTGATTTAAGGTCCTAGGACAGCTCCCAAAGGGGGATGCACTTAGCTAAGCCTGGCTATCATGATCAATGGTCATCCATTGGCGCCTATCTGTCTAGGGAGTGCCA